GTGGCCTCACCGTACAGCCCCCGCGGCCCGCGCTGTTCCGTGGCGGGGTCGGGCGCGGTCCACATGAGCAGGGGGACCTGCGTGTCCCGGGGGAAGGCGGGGTCGGGCCCGGACGCCAGCTGTCCCCCCGAGAAGCTCCGCAGTGCGTCGCTCCAGGAGTGAGAGGAGCCATAGATGGCGCTGCCGTCCAGCCAGCCGGTCACCTCGTTGGTCTGCGGGGCAGGGGACAGGTGAGCAGGGGTCGGGTAGTGGAGGCGGGTATGGGGGCGCCAGGCCTGGCGGCTGCCTGTGGGTGGGCTGGGAACGTCTCCACCCCTGACCCTGAGCCCCACCTCCCTCGGACCCCGCCCCTGCCCCGCAGTCCGCCTAGTCTCACCAGGTCCCGGGGGTTGCTGGGGCTCTGTCCGGTCTTGGGGTCCCAGCGGCTCCTCTGGAAGGGCAGCACCACGTCCCCGCGCCGTTGGGGGTCGAACACGGGGTCCCCGGGCGGGATGCGGATGTTGAGGAACTCGGCGGGGCAGCCAGGTCTCTCCACGCTGACCAGGTCCGAGAGCACGTGGTAGCCTGCGGGGAGGGGTGCGAACTGGTGAGAATGGCCACTCGTCACGGCCAAGTTTCTCAAGAGCCCAAAGACAGACGTTCTTGTGCAAGCTCTGCCACAAGCTCTGCGGCTTTTATCTAATCTGCAAAGTTGTTGTGAGAATCAATATAATTAATATAAGTGCCGCCTCCCCCCGCAGCCAGTCCCCATCTCCTCCTAATAGATCCTTCCACCTCCCTTTCCTCTTTTTTTGGGGGTTGGGGGGAAGGGAGAAAGTATAATCATATCCAGAGGAGACGTGGCAGGGACTCAGCTCCTAAGAGCTGTAAGGGGGTCAAGTGGCACTCCTGGATTTGGAGTAAGAGGTAAAAGAAAATTTAGGGAGCAAAGATTCCTGAATCAAAACCCCAGAACCCTCTGAGATGAAAACAGGCTGGAGTGCTGCTTAGTGGGGGAGTGGTGGCTGGGGTCTCAGATCTGTCTCCTGTGGACTTGCAGAGGGGCTTCAGTGGGCCAACCCCCGTGTGTTCCCACATTGCTCTCACCAAAGAAGACCCCCAGCACCGTGCGGTTGCGGCGGGATGCCAGTCCCGGGCTGCCCCGCGTGGCAGCGAGGCTGAGCTGGCGCGGGTTGGGCAGCAGCGGCTCTCCCAGAGCTTGATACACGCCGTCCGCGTAATTGGCTGGTACTAGGCGTTGCAATCGGCAGCCTGCGGGAAGCAGGAGGGAGACGGTCTGTGTTAGAGCATTCGGTCCCCAACAAGCCCACGAACCTTGCTCTACTCTTCTCTCACCAGTGACGACACCCCTCTCCCTAATCTCCTGGCCCCAGGAATGCCTAGGCGTTCGCTGCGCAGGCAGGCGGGAGGCTGACGGCGCGCTCGCCCCTGTTCTCCGCGCCTGGACGCACCTGCAGCGCCGCGCTCGTGGTGCCTCAGGTTGTTGAACCAGCCGTCATAGCGCTGCACTTCCCAGGACAGTGGGAGTGTGTCCTGGCCGCCTGCGGGTCAGAGAACAGTCCCCTCAGTGCTAGCCTCCCCGTTACCCGACGACCTCAGCCTGTGCTTCTAGCGCTCGCCGAGAGTCCCCAAACCCACCCAAGCGGCTTTACCTGCGCAGCGTGAAGGATGCCCTGGGACGTTTCCCATCCCTCTGAGCCGCGCGGCGATCTGACCGGATCTTCCAGCCTCAGGGAGCCGCTGGACTGCAACCCTCCCTTCCCTCATCCCCAGGGGGTACTGAGTGCCATCCCGAAGGGCACCCGATGCTTACCTGCTGGAATTAGCGACCCAGTCAGTAGAGCTCCCAGGAACACCACTGCCTCTGGTCTTGCGCCGAGCATGCTGAGCCTGCAGCCCGGGCAATAGGAGGTGGTAAGCGAGGGATAAAAATTTGGTGTCCCCAACGCCTGCTGCCGGCACTGGCGGAGGAGGCGCCAGCTGTTTCCACCTCCGGAGCGAAGCTTTTAGAAGCACTACCAAAAACCCCCAGCCGCACCTGCATGCCGCTCTTTTGGGGGCACCTGGCAGCCCTATAGGCACTGACGCTGGTCCCCACTCTCTAACCCCGACCACAGAAACCCACCGGGCACAAATCTCCTGGGGCATGTCTGTCCGGGGCAGGACTTTACCTCCTGCCCGCCCAAAACCTCGAATCCCCTCTCCCAACCCCCTTACCCCAGCCCCAAGAACTGCTTCTCCTAGAAAAAACAGGGGAGGGAAAGCGGGTCATAAGCTGGTAAGCTGGGGGCCCGGACGTGCAGCCCCTCATACTCCGAAATGAATGTCTGTGCCAGGACAGGAGGGATGGGAAGATCAGGCTCCAAGCCCGGGCCCCCC